TACAGGGTCTATGTGATTTTAGCCATTCTTGCTGTTTTGAATGTTCTGCAGTTCAGGACTCAGATCTACATCTGTCTCAGAATTTAGCACTATATGTATATTTGTAGTTAATTTTACTCATGCTAATTGGATGAACAAGGAATTTGGAATACAAAGGGAGTAAGAGAATCTGGCAGTGCGACATCTCGAAGTTGGGTTAGCACAGCAACACATGGATGTACAGAAGTGCCTGCCAACTTTCATTTTCTCATTATTTCAGTCTGTTGTCAGCAACAAAACTTTCCTGACTTGGGATTTATGGTCATGCTCCCACGAAGGGTTTTTCACCTCTAGATGCCTCTTTTAGCTCATCTCCAAGATGGGCATCCTGAATGCCAGGGAAAGTCAGGCTGATGCACTACTGAAAGACTTCTGTTTTGATTGGAGAGAACCAACAGACTCATCTAGTTTTACCTCTCTAATCTTTAATGTGTCCCTCTTCTGGTTAACACAGAGAGAAATAGCAAGGCAGTTAGTGCCACAGAGCATATGGCATACTTAAATGGGACCTTCCAAATGGGACCTTTGTTAGGTAAGAAGTTCAGTTTTTTTGGAGATGTATAAATGTTGTGTGGCCAATACAAATACTAAGATTTGTTAGAGTATGTCAGGGGTAAATTGCTTACGTATCCTTCTGATTTTGCTCTGACTGCCTTTCCCTTTTGTCAAAACAATTTGCCGTAGATAAAAAGGTGGTTCCATGCTGGCCCTATAGCCCAGTCTGTACTAGGAGTTTGCACACACAGAGCAGTGTTTGACTAATAATTCTAATTTATAAACCATCAACAATCCTAAAAACAGATTAGCCAGCGAGGACTTTTTGTGACAAATACCATGGCACTTTTCCATACCGAACCACATAAAAGGACTCTGGGTCAGAAAAATGCATTCATTTAGGATCAAGTCTAGCAGAAGTCCCACGATTGCCAATGGAACAAGAATAACACCCCTGTTGCCAGACTTTTTCTAGGCAGTGGGTGGCCATGGATAGAGTGCTGTCCCTTCCCCCACCAACATAGTCTCTGTGTTACAAGTTGATTTCTGTTGAAGTCCAGCAACTACACAGTCTGAGGATAGCTGGCTATCAGCCTGTACTTGCATTCCTGCCTGGACTGCAGGGGCTCTGACAGCAAAGGTAATCGTGATGGTTAACTTCACTCCTGGTATGGCACAAGTCTGGTGGAAAACCGTAACAACTTTGGAAATGCACGCTGAGGTTCATGGACAAAGCACACAGGGAGTTCTAAAGCGCCTCTGTCACCTCCCTGATGCTGCACGGCTGTGTGCTCAGATCTCAAGACTAAGCAATTTATTTATGCCAGTTATTTATTTCTGCAATTTATTTATTTACCCTGACTCACTCAGCAAGCCAGAGCTCTTAAGAAACACGAGCAGCGCAGTTCCTCTGGGCCAGCAAGGTGTGCAGCCTCTTTTCTCTGAGCATAGACCCAGACCCGAGTGAGAAGAGCTACTTGCAAACTATGAAAAGAGCCACAAATGCCCAAATAAACTACCTTCCTCTTCAGGGTCAGTGCAAAGCGGGTAGAGCAAGGCTATAAGGACTTGAGAAACACATGGATCCTTCAGTGAAGGTTTCAGCTTCTTAGAGGAAAGAGTCAGAAAACTGATGTACTTGGCCCATCTTTTGAGTTCACCAATCTGAACATATATTCTACTAAGCAAAATGCTGTTTTCCAGCTGAACAGAGCCTTCTCACCAAGAAGACATTTTTGGGGGATTAAAAAAAAAAAGGCAAAACAACAAAACAACTGAATAATTGAAATAGAAACATAATTTTGGAAGATGATGAAAGTGAAGAAAAAGGGAAGGGACCAGAGAGATAAAATACTATATTTGCCAGTTCCAATATTTATTTCCTCTAGTTCCAGAACTATATGAAGGGTGGATGAAGGTAAATGAGCCTTGTTTATAGTAGATTTATGTAAATACAGAAGAGCTTTTCCAGGACCTACATATATTCACCAAATATGAAAACTGTAGTAAATTATTACATAAAAATGTCAGAAGCTTCCCTGAGATCAGCAAAGAAAAACTCCTTGGTTTTTCAAACCCAGCTACATAGCCCCGTCTCGTATTCTAATACCCTTACCCTCTGCTCAGACCCACATCCACAAAGGCATGGGATGAGCTTAGTAGCATATCCTGAATATCAGCACCTCTGGATGTTTTGCATGAAAGGGGAAATTTATGGCCCACTCTCATGCCAACTTCTGTCTTTCATGTGCATGTTCATAAAATACATGCTGCAGTTCAGTGATGACTTTTCAGTCAAGCTAGTTCAGTCTTTTGCCAAAAGGGTTGGTCCCATCCATCCCTTCCTGTGCATGCTATCTTGTACCAGCACCAGCATTTGTGTCTATAGAATATACATTTCCCTGAATACAGGGTACAGGCAACAGAGAACTGGTCCAGATGAAAATTAACTCATTGTAATCACAGAGTGACTTCAGAGCTGTATCTCATAATCCAGTATCTAACTCCCTGTCTTATCCGATACCAGCTTTTTTATGCTCTAAGTAAAAAAAATAACATTTCTTTATATAAGACCAGTTCAGACTTACTGGATAAATACAGTGGGCAGTGAAGACCATATCCAATGTGTACTGATGCTGTGTTGCACAGATGAGTTGCCCAAAAGAAGCTGAAAGCAGTTAGATTTGTCCCATGGTGAATTCCCCATGCAAACACAGTTCTCAGCTATTGCTGGCACTTCATTTTTCCTGTGTGTGTTGGTCATGGTGTAAGAGATACCTTGGGTCGGGCACAGGCATGGCAGTACTGTGGGTATTCCACATTATGCTCTGCTTACACTCAGCTGACATTTGCTGTGGGCTGGTGAGAGAAGTGGGAGGAGGAGAGAAGGGAAAAAAGCCCATGAGCAGAAGCTGCAGGAGCTCACAAGAAAAGACACTCCACAAAGTGTCCCAGATCTGATGCCTGACTCACAAAGCTTCACAAAACCCCTTGATACTCCTCCCTGCTGAGCTGAGCTGTCTTCCCTGCTTACCTTTGATCATAAGTAGTGCATTAACTTATATACTGCAGTACTCTGATTTGGTGTCTTGCTAATATAAGGATCTATAAGATGTGGGCTAGATTCATATGCTCTCACATTCCTTTCAGAAGAATGTAGAAAAATCAGAATGTAGCCAGAAATCTCCATCTAGTTTGATTTTTCTTTGCATTAACACCATCAAGGAGTTGCTATAGGTAGGGCATTGTAGGCCAAAGTTTATAGCACTGCATTTAACTACACCTTTCACACAGCTCATAAAACAGATTTCCAATAGCTGTAATTTTAAATTTCTCTCCTTGGATGCAGTGGAAAATGTGACTTTCATGCTTTTCTGTGTATTTACAGCATCATAAATAACACACAGATCTGAAGTGTTTTAAGTACATCAATATGCTATTTTAAACAAAGTAGTGAAAATACGTAGCATATAGTGTCCAGTTGTTTTTATTTCTTTCTAGGGTAAGATTCCTCCTGCCTGCCTAATTTTTAACTTTGCATAATTTAAGACCTCTTTATGTGCTGCACCTCAAAGTAAAAGGAGTTCAAAGTCTGATGAAACCTGGGTGAAGAAAGCAATCATGAAAAAAGCCTGTGTGGTATTGCTACTTACTGCAGGTTTCAGGATTTAGAGTTTCAATAGACTTTTCACCAAATTTTCAATCTGAGATGGGTCTAATATCCAAAATCTTATGAAATCTTTTGACAAAACAATCTTTGAGTTGATATTTAGCACGGTTATAACTTTCAATGCACCAAGAAGACTTTCTGTTAGGTAGAATTGTTTGATTATAGTCAGTCTCCATAACTGCAGTAGTATGTTTATTACACATTATATGTTATTACACTGTACCAGTCCAACTCTTTTACAAAATGAATCATTGCTAAAAAAACCCTGCTTCTTATTTAGGATTATATTAGTATCATGCATTATATAAATAGCTGATAGAGTATATAAACTTGGTGGTTGTTAAATTTAACTACTGATCTGATAAAAATATTTTTAGCAAATTTCCATCTCTTACTGGTTAAAATCTGCATGTATTTTCTCTAAGGAGTAGCTGTGCTCTAGCATAGATTTCTAAGCATTTCTGAACCTCTTCATATGCAAGAGGACTTGGGGTTTTTTGTCATAAGCATCACTCATAGAAATGGAAAGTCCTGAATGTATTAAAAGATGGTGTGGTCTCTCAGTCAAAAAAACGCAACTGATGTTCTTGAACGTTCTGCTTCAGTGAACCCTTCACACGCCACACATGGAACCAGTAAAGGAGCACTGTTTCTTTCTTGAAATGGGCCATGCTATTTCGTTTGAAACAACATGTGTTGCTGCTGGGTGTTCTGTGGTTCTGTCTCAACAACATTACTCAGAGCTCAAATACAGCAGGTATCAGCCAAGGAACTCTCAAGTATCAGAGGGATGAATAAATCATATTTTCAAGAAACACCCATCCCTTTCAAATAGATACACAGCTATACATACATCTGAGACATAACGTGCTTGAAAGCAATGGTTTAATCTCACTCTTCCAAAATTCGAGATGCCAAAGAAGTTCCAGTAACAACTTAAATGAAAGTCACAGGAGAGGGATTGAGGCCTCTGCACTACCGGGGACTATAAATTCCTTTCCTCGTGTCTGTACCACTGGTGACCTCTAGTGCCCAAGGACAAGAACAGGTATACAAAGTTTCTCCAAAGCATTTATTTTCGAGAACACGAAATAAAATTGCCTCCTTTTTAAAAAAATATTAAAAATTTTCACATGATCTTTCAGTTCACAATATTTTAAATGCAAAGTAATAATACAGAAACTCAGTGTATTAGGGGAGGCAAAATATTTATGCTAGTTGTAAGACTACAGAAAATTACTTATTTGTAAAAATTAATACTGTGCGAGATTATTCACATTTGGACTATCTGTTTCAGGCACTTGTCACTTCCTTAGTCTGTGAAAAGGAATCAAACCTACATTGCAAATGTCATGCTTCAACCAGCACATACAGCAGCGCAGATGACCTTCAAGCATGAGGCTGAAGTAGGTAACATTGTTGTCAACCAGTTGGAATTTAGATGAGAAAACGGGATGCCTAAGCACCCTCTTAAAGACTGCAGTGGTTCAGAGCTTGAGATTTTAGATTATGGTATTTCTTTTAATGTAGACCAGTGTGATATGAGAGTAGACTCTTTCCTATATGACGGCATAAAGATGGGAAAATGTGTGTTACGCATTTCCTTCGCGACATTATTCTTGAGGGAGATCAAACTGCAAAGCAGTACCGAACCTCACAGCTATCCTGTCAGCTATGGAAGTGATGGGCAGCTACAAAGGGCCAGGCATTCCATGTCACTTGGGCAAAGTGCGCTGGTAGTTCTGACTTCCAAAGAATATATGGATATCTCCCTTGGATTTCTGTCTGTGACTCAGACTTTAAGTGAAGAGAAATTTTCTTTGGCTAATGTTAACTCGGAGGTGTGCAAATAACAGGTAAGTCATGTCTAACGGTGTTAACAGAAGTGTATTAAACTGTGCTCTGAAAGAAGCATACTAGAGAGAAGTACTAGAAAATTATATATATCAAGGAATTAATAACTGAATGTATGCATTAATACTTTGTAGATACATATTTTAATAGAAACAAGATAAAGTACAGAAATCACACTTACAGCAGGGCTGGAATCTCAGATCTCTTTCCAAGATTGGACCCTAACCAACAATAAGAAGAGTTTTGCTACCACATCCTGCCCAGAGCTCGAAAGTCTGGAGGTTGTCGGCTCCTTCTGTGTCTCAGTGTCTGCTCACCTGGCTGGGCCACAGGTCCCAGTGCCCTTTGTTATGCAAAGGTCAGCACCAGCTCAGGGCCTCTTGCCTGGGGCTCCCGCCACCCAGAGCTCAACCGGCAGCTGGCACTGAATGCATTCCTCAACATCATGTTGATAAAGCAGTTGCATCTCTGAGTGCTCTGAAATGTGATCTGTTACAGGAGAGGTGGGCAATTGCCCTCTTCTCCGGTCACGTTTTAAGACAGAAGGATGCTGCGATGGATTCCTAATTAATACCCCAGAAGAATGAAGGCATCATCCTGCAGCACTGTGTCAAGAGTCTGTGTCACAGGGAGGCAGTTGCAGTGCCCTTGCTGTTGCAGGGTGAACATTGCCTGCGATACAGTAGTGCTCAGGTCAGCCGGCAGGCTCTGTAAGTTGCCACTCCGACCTGCCTTCATCTCACTCCTCACTGTACAGACGTCTTCTGCAGGGTTCTGGCATATTCTCCAGAGATCAGATGCCTAAAACTCTTAGCTGCTTCAATTGTTTATTGGGTCTGTCCTGAGAGGGCTAATGGCCTGGGGTCAAAGAAATTTAGCATTATGGTTATTGAACATCTCTTGAGTAAAAGCATGTGTATGTACGTGTGTGAGAGAAAAAGAGAGTGTGGGAATGGGAAGGAGAGGAGGTGTGTACAGAAGCAAGTCCTCCCTGTAATATAAACGATGCCAAATCCACTTACACATAGGGAGACATAAGTGAAATCTTAAAATCTGTGCGTTGGGTGGCAAAGCCAATTACATGACTTCATTTCTGACGTAATTTGATGACTGTGGGCAGTGAACACAAGCCGCCTAGCTACAAACTTTTAAGCTTTCTGCAGCTTATATAAGAACTTAACAGGAGGGTAAATTACAGTAGCTGACTGTATACAAAGTACAGCAAAACTTTGGAATGGGGAAACTTTTTTTATTTTAATAAAGGCATAGGAAACAACTTGCCTCTTAATTCAAACAAGAGCAGAACATTCTTAAGGTAAACATTTTTACCCTGTTATCATGTTGGCTGCCCAGCAGTGGTCCTCTGACTAGGATCTGTAAGGTGATAGCGATGCAGAGTGCTGCCCACACTACCCGAGGAACGCAAGAGACACAATTTTTGGAAGCAGTACAGGGCTATAACTTACTGCCAGTGTGTATTGATTCATGTGTCACAGCACAGGAAGTGCCTTGCTGTAATTAGCCCCTTTGCCCGTGAGAACCTCTTCATCATCCCTGCTTGTAACACACGATTTTGCCTGTCATGCCTGACATAAACCAATGAAGATGAATCCTGCATCAGTCTCTATTTTCCAGCACAGTCTACGAAAAAACAAGTTTGGGGGTTATTGATATATCATAGTAGCTTCTCCTGCTTATTCTTACAGCAGTTTATTACTGCTGTAGGGGCTTTAATTCAGCTGCCCAACATGTGTAGTGCCACTTGGCGTGTCTTACAGTACTCTAATACTTTAGATTACACACATCTGCCATGTGTCCCATGTCATACTTTGTAGCCATATACAACTGAATTGAAAGCTTGGGAACTTAATTGCATAAATAAGTCACTTTTATAAATTAAAGAAAAAAACAAACAACCAAAGACTAGAGAAAAGGAGTACTGGGGTAGTAAAAGTGCACCTGTGCTTTAAAGAAAGCCAAAGCACTGCTCTGGTGGAGATTTCACTGTTCAAACACCTGAAGGCTGTGAGTACCTTTCTGAAGAATCAGAGGGGATATTTCCCATCTCTAAGATTGGTTTAGTGACTGGATCCTCCATAGCCTGAGCCAAAAAGAGAGTAAAAATCATAAGATGACTCATTATGAGTGTAAGAATATAAGATCTACTAGTTCTAGAACTTTTATATATTTTTAGCTGGAATCCGATTTTCTTTCAAGTGCAGCTTGACAAAAAAAAGTCAAGTAAAAAGGAACTATTGTAGGAGACATCAAAAATTCTGAACCAGCATAAAACCTGGGTTTCCAAATAAGTATGTTCAAACTATATTTACTTATGTTAAAATCTATAGCTATCCTCCCGCTTGACTAGAAAGATGGAATTATTCAGTTATATCCATTAGCAAGGTAAGATAAACATTTCAGATAAATTTCCTTCTTTCTATTTTAAATCATAATTGAAATGTGTAGTTTAAATCAGTCTTGTCAGAACTGCTTTCAGTAAACCACTGGTTTGCAGAAGGAGCACAATGTGAAATATAGTTCCTGCTCTGCTCCTCTGTGGCTCAGAGCAATACAGACCCAGTGCTGGCCTCTGAAGAGCAGGGTGGGCACACATGAGCATCATCCTTTCAGGGGTCTCTGTCATATTTTATTCATCTGAATAAACAAATGTATGTGAAATTTTGAAATAACAACTTTCAGGCAATCAAGAGCTATTTAGGCTTGCTAAACTTTGTTTTTATTATTCTACTCCACTTATACAATTGGAAAAAAAAAAGAGCAAAACAAATTAGGCACAGAGTGCCAATTTTGAATAGGTTAAATTTAGGAATGTTGCAGCCATTAGGAAAATGAAATGCTTTACTCTCTAAACATTCCTACTAAACATCTGGGAAATCTTAGCTTAAAAATAGTGCAGCAGGCACAATGGAAAATCCTTGAGAGTGATGACAGCTCTGATTTCACATGTATTTATAATCCTGCACTTCGTTTATTTTCTTGGGATTTCTGAATTTGACAGAGACAGATATCTGAAAATAACTGACATGCTAGCTGTCAGCCTCTCCTTAAAATGTGTGGTCAATAGATCAAGGGAACTAAAACACAAGGGGCTCAATGTTATTCTCCGTTACAAAATGCGGAGAGGATGAAGCATTTTATAGTTCCTGAGTGAAATGCTCATATGTGAAAAAATAAATAGCTGACAGTCTCTCACTTCAGCAACTTGTATATGGTGCTGAATGCAAACTACTACCTGCACTCTATGAAGGAAGGACTTGGCCAGTGTAACACAAACATGGAAGCATGAAAATGAGAGCTGTTGCTATAGGGGGCAAACTTTCATCTGGTTTAGGGGTTAAAATTTCACCAGGCCTGTGAAAGGTCCTTCCTCAAAAAATGAGATTATTTTGTGGAATAACTTGGAGGGAATTTAAGTGAAACTAAAGCTGCTTTGAGACAGAAATTTTGTTATACATTTCTGCAGTTTCCAGCAGAAAGAGGACAGTTTCTTCAACTTAAACAACATCCCCAGTACAGACAGCTGGGACAATGAGTTAATATAAAAGGCCAACATGTTAGTTTTTATTCAAAAGGCAAAGATAGTAAGATTAATTTTGAAATTCTCCAAATATGAGGTGGAAGACAGCAGTGATTGCTTGCTGTCCACAATACTGAAACTTCTTGTGTGGTGTCAGTAGTTCTGCCAAGGTAAGCAGGAAGAGGAATGAACTACTTACCTCCACTTCCTATATCAGCTAGGCGCTGCATAAATTTTTGAGAGAGAACCTGCCAGTGAGCAAGGCTGCAAATCAGACTAGACAAAATTGCTTCCACATGTGACAACCATGTTACTCATTAACCACTGAGATTCAAGAAATCTTCTCCGTTCAGATGTCTCAGTTGTGGTTGATGGCATTGTGTAATAAGTCAGCAACAAACGGCGAATAGTCCTGGTAAAACCTGCCAAAGAGGGATCCTGGCAGCTCATTCCTCAGAGGGATAAGCTCTGCTTCCTCAGTGGAATGACTTTGAGCACCTTCCTAGCCTTGCCTGGACAAAGAACTATAAGTGTGGGTGCACGTGTATATATATGTACTAGGACCAGAAAACAGGACTTAATCTGCAGCAGCAATGATTTTGAGCCAACTTATGGTAAATATCTTGTTACAAAGATCTTCTGGGTTAGGAGGCATGCCACTTACTATTTCATAAGTAAATAGAAGCTGTCTTGCAAGTAGGTCATTGAATGTAATACAGTTTTAATTTAATGGTTATTATTTTTCCCAATCATAGTTTTCTGTTCATACCACAGGTCCCAACCACGTACAATAGCGTAGACGTGAAAATCAGTGTGTGTGACTGTCGCATCCCACTCCTAAGAGGAAGGGAGCACCCAACAATCATAGATACCCATGGTCAAAAAGGAATGACAAATGTCAGAGGGTCTGAAAATACTTAAAAGGTTATATTATTAAATCATAAACTGAAAATTGGTATAAGTTGGTCCCTTCTAGTAGTAAGAGAAATAAAAGAATAAAAAAAAAG